GCAGAACAATGTCAATCAAATCATGCATCAAGCTTAAAAGAGAGAGAGAGAATAGCAACTTGACAGCCCATTCAGTTCAAAAACTTGAAAGGATATCCTTAGGGAACGAATTTGCTTGCAAACCAGTCTTACAGGGAATTTAAGCTATTTTTGGGAGTAAAGACATGAAAGCCTAATGTGGCTTCTTGAAGTGGCTGACTTTCCACTCTCTGCTTTTTGATAACTAGAGTCATTAACCTCAAATTGCTCCAGCCATTTCTACCTTACCCAACAAAATCTAATATAGAGGCAAGATAACTAAATTTCATAGTTATTATCTCTTCCAAGGTCCATCAAATTGACCTACTAGCTCTTCCGAAGAGAAGAATACAACATAATTGGAACTATAAAGAAATGTTAAAAATGAAAGGGAAAAAAAACTGCAATGTAATTTCAATTCAAAGATGGTCCTGACTCCTGTTGAGGTACTTTTCTTCGAGTATTTAGTTCTAATGCACCAAGTAATCCAGTTCCAAAAGAAGGGAACTAATGCACCGAGTAATCGAGTTTGAAAAGTATCAGAGATCGCACGCAATATAAGAAAATGACACTTACACCATTAAAATCAAAGGAACGGAACTGGCAGTTCATGGTTAGCCAACCGATTGAGATACAGGTACTTCCTCATGACAGAACTGTCCTGCAAAGCTCCACAAATCTCCCCTTTGCACAACCGACCGATTAACTACCCCGTGAAGAAAAAGTGCTCAACACAAAAATGGGCTATTTTCCAAGCTGAATACGTACGGCGAATCAAACGAAACATTAAAGCTAACTTCCAAACGAAAAGAAAAAGAGAGGGAATCACAAATAATCTGATTACACACAAATAAATTTGAGGCCTCATCTGTCTTTTGCAATACCATCTCTTTCCTGAGAACCCATAAGGATTTGGGCCGTTTTAAATATCGGTTTTTAATTCAACAATTGGAACCTCGGGAGCGTTTTTCACTTCTTGTTCTTAACCTGCAAGGTTTCTAAAATGAAACATTCATCTATTTCATGATTAACAACATTTTAGTAACTTGAAGCTTACAACAATTTATATAAAGATAAATTGGTCTAGTGTTACGTGTATTTAACTCTTACACCACTAAACTTCGTTTCGCAACAAAATCTTGGGGAGAATGATTCAACAGTGTCACAATTTGCAAGAACAAACGGCCATACGCTCATCAAGGCTGACAAGTACAAGCCATATGCCAATGAATATTTTCTGTCTGGATCACATGAATATTAAATGGATGGTAACTTAAAATTCATGGAGCACTAGTCGATAGGCAGTCAAAACTTCCAATGTCTAAAATTCATACCATTTCTGGGGATCCCAACAACAAAACAAAACATAAAATTTTTAAATTCAGAGTAAAACAAAGAAACTGATATAGCATCAATCCCACAACTACTTTCATTCCCTACATAACATAAGCAAATCAAAAGATTCTGTTTGAAGGTCCCATGGTGCTCTTCAAGTAGAGGCACCTCACCTACAATCAACACAGATTCAAAATTCAATCAGATTACATAATCAACATCATGAAAATAATGCCAAAATCACATATATACATACACTATACATGAGAGAGCAAGCAACCTGTACATATACAAAAGATAATAAAACTCACATTTTGCCAGTTTTTCTTCAATAACGAAACAAGGAAATTGACACTCATTTGCACATTTTGTAATATCTGCTTCTCCTCCATGGCAACATTTCCAACGGCCACACCCATGCAAAGAACCTTCTTCAGCTGGAACTTAACCATTGCCTTGGTCTCATTCACCTTGGACTCTAGGGACTCTTGGTGAGTAACAAGGGTTGGGAATTTCCCTGCATTTGTGCGTGACATCAACAATGTAAACTAAAAGTTAATAACTGATAACTGACAAATGCAAAATGAGTGAACTTAGGACTTCCTGCAAATGCTTTAGGAGTGCAATATAAATACTGCTGAAAACATGTCAATAATGCTTTTAAATGTTACTTGCCTGCTTTGTTGAGACCAGGACCCAAAAGACGAGGGATTTGCTTGATAACAGATTCAGAAGCCAAAAAAGCATGATACTTCTTGGCAAGCTTCTTCACTAACTTCTTATTCTTGTTTAGTTTTTTCAATGCTTCTACATCCATATAATCCAAACCAATTTTCTCAGCCTGCATTATTAAACCATTCAAAACAAAAAGTTAATTGCAAAAATAACAATTCAAATACTAGAAGTATATACTCAGCATAATGCACATCTTATACCTGATTCCAAAAATAAAGCATCCTTCTAAGAAATATAAACAAACAAAATTTCACCTAAGAAAGCTGCAAAATCACCTCTTCAACGTGTTGAGCATCTCCAAGCATGCAAATTTTCATCTTGGGACGTGGAATTTGTGGCAGCTTCACAGATCCACTGAAACGCTTATCCTTTTGGGGATCATAGTTTTTCAGACCAATTTGGAGTTCAATAGTCTCTGTAAATTTGCGTTGTTTCTCCTTGGACTGAGCTACAATTGTTGAAATAGCTTCTCTAAGAGCATCACTCTGAAGCTTACTGTAAATAAGAAATCCAAAATCTTTAAGCAAACAAAACCGTAAACAACTAGATAACAAAAGATTAATCTAGGCAACTTAAACAACTCAAAATAAAAAAAAATGAGCATCCCAGGTCACATAGATCAAACCAATGCTTTGAACTAAAATACCAAATCCAGGAACGGCAGTAGTTCCCCTAACAAATAATGCTGAACCAAAATTGACAACTAGAATTTACCTTCAAAGCTCAAATTTTACGCCAAATAGAATTTTGTACAAAACCAATCTAATCGAAGAGAAAAAAATTGAGCGTACAATATGAATAAAAACTAAACACCTAATTCGAGTACAGCAAATCAACAATCAGCAGAAAAATTAAAATAGCTCATCTCTGAATCAGTAACTAATCATTTCACCGATCAATGTACCTAAGAGGATTATCCTGTAAAGCATAAATGAAAAAATAATCCAAAAGCATCTAATCCGTGTGCAGCAAATCAATAGCAAAGTTAAAATTACCTCATCTCTGAACCTCGGTTCTTTCAACGAAGCAAAATATGAACTTCTACCTGCAAAATAACGTTAAAAAGACATTAAAAGTAAGATCCGTGAGGAAATGGGAGTTACAACAAGGGAAGGTTTAGCGAGAAATAGAGAAGCAAGTAGGTAATGCCTATTGCCTACCAGAGAAGAAAAACCTAGCCGCTCGTGGCTTTTGGGGAAATATATATACAGGCGGAGTAATAAAATGATATTGAGCCATTAGCAGTCCAGCCCAAGTTCATTAGGCCTGAGAGGCTTGGTTTCCGTGAGTTGAACCCGGCTCAGATTAGTAATAGATTGATTCAGCCCCAACACTGATTTTTATGATTGGTTTTTACGACTAAACATGCACGTTCCTTGTATTGGCCATGAATCAAATAATTTTTCCTTATTTTTTCAATTTAAATTAGACATCCTTTTTAAAGTTGATATTTAAAAAAATATTTTCACATTGACATTCGAATTTAATTTTATAGGTTACTTTTGTATTTTTATTAACAATGTTACTTTTGATTATGTGATAATATAAGATTATATCACGTATCAATAATAATATCATTATATATGTATTTGTAAAACTTTAAAATCTATTAATTTTTTTAAATAAAAATAAGTTAAAATATCTCAAGTCTAATACAGTAATGCATAAAGCAGTCAAATTTTATTTCTTCTTATGAATCCTAAAAGTTAAAAAACATGAATTAATTTAAGTTGAAGGTTAAAGTTTTACAATAAAAGGTTACAAAGTCAATTGAAAATTTTATTTCAATAGTAAATGCACATATTTATTTAATAGTTTTAAGCAATTTATCACTCAAATTAGGTAAAAAAAACGAGAAGAAAATAAATGAAAACGATGAAAGAGAGCGTGAAGTATCATGGATTTAGTCTAATATACATAGATCTTGCATTAATATGTAAAATATATTGAAAGTTTAAAAAAAATGAGTAAATTATGTCTCCTGATCTATGTAGGTATTCACAAATGAAATCTGCTTGTCAGATTAAAAGAAAAAGGTTTTCTTCATAAATTTGGTGATTAAGGGAGAATAAATATGGGCGCCAATTCATTAGATTAGGCCAATATACTTGATGGAACACTAGATTCTGATGAATTTATGCTTTTGTTAATCATTGAAGTCAAAGCTGAAAACCCAGAAGATGAACAGCAGCAAGAAAGCAGCAAATTCCTACTGCAACCTCCAATAATGGTACCATACCAGCAGAACAATCATAATGTTACGTGAGATGTTGAAACTGGATCTTCGTCTTTCCTAAAGGATCAGAATATTCAGAATAAGATGATGAGCATTGGAGGGTGTTTAGTGAATCCACTAGGGTTCCCTTATAGACCTCAAAGTAAATGTATGTTTTGCCTGCACATTCACCATTAGGAGGTGATCTTCAAAGCTCAAGAGAGTTGCTCCTAATGAATGACTGATCGGTTAACATTAAAGGGCGAAACCAAATGCAAGAAACCATCGGAGAGGTTCAAAGGAAGAGGATGAATAAGACCAGAAGCAGAAGTTCAGCTGCAAAATCTCGAGCAAAGGCTCAGGTAGGTATACATATATTTATAGCTAGCAGAACTCTGGAACTTAGCCAAGTTATTATTAGAATTCGTACATCTTTTACGATATACTGAGGCTATGATCTCCATTCATTCTTTTATAGGAGCATTCGAGATTTCTGGAAGAAAAAGTGGTGCAATTGAGAAATGAGAATGCTCATTTGAAGAAATTACTTTCCCACCGTACTGAAACTGAGAGACAAAGATATGGAAGAAAATATACCGATTATATATATATATATATATATATATAAGAACTTATGGCTATATATATATATATATATAAAACGTTCATAAGAGAGACAAATACATACCCCATATTTTTAACTGTGATCTATATCTTGAAAACAGTCATATTTTTGTTGTATGAACGATAAGCGGCTGAACATAAATTATAATCCACCAATTCCTTTTAGGTTGGATGCTTAATACCTGCGCGAAAAATGTTTGAGAATTGTATTATTTTCTTCTATTGGATGTACAGGAAAGAGAAGAGATTGAGGAGAAAAGGCAAACAGTGTTTAGAGATTAGAAAACTGCATATATATATATATATATATATATATAGAGAGAGAGAGAGAGCTCGTTAAGATCAATGGTGGTACTGGTGAGACCAAAGAACAAAAGGGGATGGTATGGTTCATTTTAAGGCCAAATGATTCATCATTATACATCCCATATAACAAGATCCAAGTATATATATACTGAAAGAAATTGTTTGCCTTAAGCAGTACAGTTTAACTAGATCAAACTGCTGCAAGTGTTTTCATACCCAGATCTTAGCATTAATGGATTGATAGAGTGCAAATGTTGAAAATCAGTTTATCACATCTACTTTATTTTCGTACCTAAAAGCAGTGGCTAGTTAATGAAATTTACAGACTTTATGATCCGAAACAGATAAAAAGTTGTTGCCACAATAATATGGACAGAATCAACATGAAATAATTACTCAACACATACTTCCCATCCTCATCAATCGTTGAGAACTACTTCTTCTTCCCTCAGTCATAAGCGCTTTACGAGCAGAAGCGAGTCCAGTGGGAGCTAACAATGAATCAAACGAAGAACAATCCATCCAGTCTCTAAGCAACTCTTCTTTACCCCATTTATCCGGTATCGAAACTCTACCTGCAACCTCTTCTCTGTGTCTTTTAAGCCTTTCACGTCCCGAATCCTTGTCGTTTCCATCGCTGCAATGCCTTGTAGGAACCAAAGCCGACCCTTGTAGAACACTGCCATTGCTGCAACTACAAGACTTGTCATCTTCATTGCCGAAACCATGCATATTGTCGGAGTTGATGGACAAAGTCGCAACACGGGCGATAACGGGTTTCGACGGATTATGATTCCAGGGACTGGAACTGATACTAGACATGTTGTAGTTGCAGTTTGATGATGATGGTGGTGGTGGTGTGCAAAGAGGAGAGAGTTTTCGAAGGGTAATATATAAAGGGGGGGTTGGGTTATTGGGTGTGGGGGAATTGAAGTGCACGTCACCATATGATGGGTTTCTATGGTTTTCAATATATAAACGTTTCATTAGAGCTTAGAGTCTCACAATTGTGTGGCTCTTTCATATGCACGCCATAAAGAAGGGTGAGAGGTGGTGGTCAGTGAATAATGGTGCATAGGGTCCAATGGGGTTGGTGTATTAGATTTTAGATGACGTTTTGAGGTGGGAAACTGTATGCACTCAACATATGTTTTATTTTCTCCTTGGGGAAACATGTGGACCTACTCCAAACTAAGCTCAGATATTTTCTTCCACATTTTACCTCTAAATTTTGCCCAACTTTGTTTTTTATTTATTTTTCTATAAAATTAAATTGAAAAAAAATGAGCTATTTAAAGAATTTTCTAGAAATTTTAGATTACTTTTTATTTGTTTGGTAGGGTTGAGCTAGATTTAAGTGAAAGTAAATTTTGATTTGATTTAAAAAATCATTTTTTTTAAAAAAAATCGAGTTATTTTATTTAAATTATTCAAATGGGTTTAAATTTTTAATTTGAATTTCGACTTCGATTCAAAATTAAATTTGTCATGTCTGAATGATCGGAAAAAAAATTAAAACATGGACTTGATATTTAGTTAAAAAATTTGAATTAGAATTTTTCCAAATATTTATTATCAAAGAAAACTTCTAAACGGGTTAACTTGAGTTCGTAAAACCCTTGTCCAACACTCAACTCCTACTACAACTCAATCTTTAGACAGATCTACTCAATAATAAGTAAAAGCAAAAGGGGGAAAAAACACTTAAAATAGAAAATTTCCAATTTTTCTCAAGTTTGAAAAAAGAAGTGCTTCTGCATATATAAGACATGGTTGCTTTATATCATAATAAATCATCCATTAATGGAATAATAATTTTATTCTTTCTTCTTTCTTTTGTCAACATAGAGATGATAAAACCGTGGATAGTGTATACATGAATGTTTTCCTAAGAACAGCAAACAAATCTTAGCCTTGAAACGAAAAAAAGAAGGAAAATTGCATCAAAAGATAGCTATGATTTTCTCTCATGTGTTCATATCACATTCTTCACAACCTTTCCGTTTCTTCCCCTTCTTTTCTGATTTTTAATAATATGGTTAGCGAGATAAGGGGTTCGTGGTGATGGCAGAAAGACAAGGTAAAGCCATTACCAGGAACATGAAGAGGCTGAGTCACTCACTCTTAACAGCTCGTTAAATGTAGCGAACGAACATCAAGGAAGAACGGAAGCCTACTGTGCCAAGCATCAAGAAGAATGCATAGCACATGCAGGCATTGTAGCCGACAACGAATGAAAATTGCAATAAGCCACTCATGCTTGATCTTGCGTAGAAGTAAATACCATAAGCAAACATGAAAATAGAGGTTGATCCCCCACACAGCACAGATCTGCATCAAGCTCAACAACACCACAAGTGTTTGCAATGTTATGGCAATGCAAGGGGGAATTAGGATAAACAAAGAATGATGCACTTATTTCAGATAATGAAGCTCAGACACTTTAGCTGGTTCCAGGGAGCAGAGAGTGAAAGAAATGAATGGAAAAGTTTCCGACAATAAAAAGCATTATTTCTTATTCATTAAACCCTCTCATCTGTTTGCTCCTAGAATCTAAATAGATACAATAAAATCCAACAAAGCTGGTACTTATTTATTCATTTATTTTTGTACAGGGTGGCCACTATTGAAGAAAAAATATTTAGAAGTATTTCATTTCAATATATGATTTTCTGATAACTTAAAAGAACCAGCAGATTGAGATCTTGCAGCCAGTTTTAAACACTGATCAGTTCTAAACTATGTTACCTAGACTCAGGTGTAATGGTCAGACATGGGTATCAAAACGGATATGTTCAGTTTTCCCAAGATTTCCACCTTAGAAGATCATATTCCCGTACCCATGTTAGAGTATGTCTTGGACATGGGTATTTGAAGGGGGGGGGGGGAAACGAAGAGATGCAGTGACACAGGTCCTAAAAATATGTAGGCAGGCAGCAATAATAGCAAGATCTTGATCTATGATATTTCATATTACAGTGACAGTTCTACATATATGAAGTAAAGAAGCTCAAATACCAACCTTCATTAACATGCACGTAGTTATGTTCAGTGTGTGTATTCATATGCATTAACATCCATGTACATAAAGTTGCAAGGGAACATACCTCCACCACCATTGATGATCTTCCACAGATAGCTGAATATATGTCAAACCAGGATGAGGATGATGAACATGATAAACAAAATGCTGGGAAGAGTGAATATCCTGTATCCCCACAAGCTCGCATATAAATGTTGTAACTCGAGGACAATGGCACTAAAAGGTAAGAAACCTCCAAGAAACATCTGGCAAGGAGTTTTCCGGTACCATGCCAATGGAGGAACCTCTCTTGGGTATCTTTTTGTAGCACAAGGTGACTGAAATTCAGACCTAAAGCGGTATCCTATCACCCCACCCAACACAAGCAATGGAATGGTGAGAAAAGTGTATATGAGAATAATAACCATGATAGTGCCGAAAGGGAGTGCGGCTGTTTCCCCATAAGATACAGCAACCACATTAAGGATGGAACCTATCACAAACAAGGGACCAGAAAACATGATTCCAGCCAGGAGGACACTCCTTTCCTGAAATTGACTCCTTTTATTTAACAAACAAGCAAAAAAGTTCTTCAGTGTGTGCAATGTTAAATTATCATCCAGTTTCAGCAAACTGACAGTGGAAGGAAGCCGTGAGTACCCAGTAACCACGGATGTCAGAGAATATAAAATGACAAGCGCAGTGCAAAGTGTTCCACGATTGTACGGATAAAGGACACCACGGCAAACCAACACAAATAAGCAGCAAAATCTGAAAGGAAACACAACATTGTTAAAAAGAAAGGATAACTAAACACAGCATTAGACCACGAAAGTCAAGAAAGGGCGGCGAGTTTTTGAATCTAATTTGATTGGAAAACTAATCCTATAATGGCAATTCTTTTGAAGTATCGTAAATATGTAATACTAATTCCATAGTGAAGGCACCCAATATGTAAGCATAAATAAGTTGTTAAGGCAACTGGAAAAGGAATGCAAAAGGAAGAGGAAAATAAAGAATATGAAGGTAAACAAGTTTAGTTTAATTAAAAATATACCAGTAATCAGCAAGAGGCATTAGGTTCCCGTGCATGTATCATACCAATCTTAAGTCATTAGCCAACTGCCAACCCCACAAAGTGGAGAAGACTCTGTTAATTATTCTTGTTGAACTTATCAGATATCAACTAGTATAAATAAAAACAAGATGCCAAACACTTGGGAGAAAATCAGTGAGGAGCTTACAAGGTTAGAAGTTTAGTACCCATGCCCATGACAGCACAACAAGGACTTATTTCGAGGATATCTAAATACTTCACCATGAATATATTTCCAACCAACCTCCTTGTCTTCTTCTTTGTCATCTCCAGTTGAAAATCTGATATTCATGCATTGAACCTTAGCCTCAAAGTATAAAACAAGCAATACTATAGGTCTAAAACAAGTTGACATTGTCAACAATAACATAAGGAAAATTACGTTCTCAAGTCATTCTTCAGACGTCGCCTGAAAAGCAAGGCAAGTAATCCTATCAACAGCATAATAGTGATAAATAAGTTGATGAATGAAAACCAATGAATTTTCTGGTGAAATGGGAGGGAAGAAGCCCTTGAATATCTATCCATTCTGGTATCAAAGGCAGCTGACGTTGTATTCCAGGTAACTGAATAAGTGAAATCAACATCAATCCCAGCATCTTCTGTTATATCAACAACACGATTTGGGTCACCAATTGCATGTACTTCTATAACATGGTTTCCATTATAAAGCACATCAAACTCTACATGTTTGAACAGAAAATACTTGGGTGACTTGTCCTCAAGTGTCCAACTGTAATCTTCAATTTTCCCAACAAAACCCCAAAATGGTAGATCATCTTAGTACATCTGAAAGTAAAAATCGTTAATTACAGCATCTCTAAATTTTGCGACATCATCTCCTTCAAGCTTCTTGTGACACAATGTCTCTGCAACTTTGTTCTCCCGGAAGTTCAACTTATATAGAGCACTAGTCAAACGATCACCACTCAGAACTTCCCCGAGGGACTCCTTTTGTATTACAGGACCTGCAACACACAAAGTGCGAACTTACAACTCCAAACTCCACAAGCTCAAAAATTGGAAGAGATGAAACCTCAATGCTACCATTTAACTTTTGGCAAAGGAAAAAAAACAATAAAACAGTGGAGGCAGAGGCACAGGAAAAAAACATTTAAGTGATAATATTGTGAGTTCCACAATGTAACTATAAGATCCCAGAGCCAAGAATCTAGAGAGACTTGGTTTAAAAACTTCATCCACAGTGAATGTAGGATAATTTTATTTAAAACAATTTTTAATATTACAACTTTAGAATTTAACTGAATGTTAACAAATATTAATTTCAGATTTCTAAAGTTTATACATATGAAAATAGTTATGAAATTCTTCACCATGCATAATATCAAACTTAAGAAGTAATTCCGATAATTGTTGCTAACCTGGACGGAAAAATGGCAATTCATAGTATTGGTAAGTCTCACTGCAAAACAATAACAGTTTGGGAGTAAAATGTAAGACCAGAAGGACTTAGTAGATGGAAAAGGAAATGGAAATTGGAAGTTCCAAGTAAAAGTGGCCATTGATTTCTGCTAAGAACAAAATGTAAACCTAGAACCATAATCATTTATCTCTCTCCCAAGTCCCAAGGCAGCGTGTTCCAAAGAGTTGCAATAGTATAGGTTCTAGTTCCACCCCAAGAGCAGTTAAAAGATAACCAATCTAACAACCAAGCGGCTAAGTGCTAATTACATAAAAGTTCAACATTCTCAAATTATTAATAAACTTTCAGTTATTAGTCTTGTGTTCTTCAAAATGGTAGCGTATTTAGTTATTTTAACCATTAAAAATCTCTAAAATCCCTTATAGTGATTTGAATTGATATCTCAATAACCAAAACACCAAGAAGATTCGAATTTTTCAGTATTGACCGGCAACTAACATAAATAACAAGGTCATTGCCTAATTATAGTTCAGATCCTATCCTTCAACATCCTTGTACAAAGTAACTACTACACTTTCATAACCCAAAAGTCTTTTAGATACAGTTGACTTAACAAATTGAAAAGCAAACGCTGACCCATCACAATGTATTGATTCCCACATCAGTTAAAATAATACCCATTGCTTAGAAACACGTAACAAACTGAATTCCCAATAAAAAAAATTGAAATTTCAAGTAAAGATTGAGTTTTTCATTGTTCTGGGTACCTGGGATTGTCGAGGGGGCCAATTTTATTGACAAATAAAGGGACATGATCTCCTACATTGTAGCAGTGATTGTTTGGTGATGATGCAACAATAGATCGTAGAATTGTTAACAGCGGTAATATTAATATTAGACTGCGTTTAAAAGCTTCCATTTTACTCATTGCTTCCCAAGGCTGAAGACTTCGGAGACAGAGCCGGGAATCGAACGGAAGCTGTTGAATTGAAAGACTTTCGATTTATTTATTGCTGCTTTAAATGCATCGTTTCACTTCTTGTGCGTCGACAAACGCTGCGTTTAGAACTATTTTATACTAAATATAAGCTACCCTTATTTTTAAGGATTATTAAACAATGAATTTTTTTTTTCAAATTTGTATTTAATTTTTTCTCAAATCATATATATATTTGGAAATTTGTTAAATTAATAATATTATGTATGCATTACTTCTACAACTAGTTAAATTATTAATATAATATTAACCAATCAAATAATTAATATTGTTAGATAACTTTAATTTGATTTTAATATCATGTTACACTTAATGAAATACGATTCAGAGTTTTATATATGTGATGCTTTTTTGAACGTGTGTCGTGTTTATATTATCTCGACATTTTATATCGAATAAAGTACGTATTTAATTACCTAATTATTACTTTAATTTAATGCAGCATTTTGGGTCTCCCACCTCGCAAATTCCAGGTGTCAGTCCAGGAAGATAAGGAGCTGCCAAGTAGTACAAGGGTAAAACCATTGAATCTGAAAAGGTTAGATATAGACTGCACACATTAGTAATTGCATGTAATAGAGAGAGTTGAGACAGAAGCCAAAAAGTACCTGTTGAATCATATACAGTTTAGATCACCACCCGTCAAAGGTTTAGCTTGTGAGAAATACCCATTTTGACACGTGGCGTTGAGATCCTTTGCATGAGAACAGATGTTCTGTTCTTGGGAAGACAGAACAGAACAGAACAGCTTAGAGACGTGAAAGAATTCCATGTATGTCGATGCATCTTTATATAGTACAGGGTTGCTGGCGTTAGAAAAGAGTGTCACATTAAGGTTTTTTATGTTCTTTGGAAAATCCATACTAAAACTCTAGTTTCTTTCAGATTTAATTTGAATCTGTAGCATTTATATTGAGGCTAACAGAGGAGGAAAAATCATGAAGGTCTGTTGCAGATTTGTTGTTTTGACTTTTGAGGTCTCGTAATGATGGGTCTAATGGCATACATAAGCTTTAACCTCTCTTTTTTCTTTTAATTTGTGAAGATTCATGAAACAAAGTCTCATGCTCATGGACATGGAACCGGTGACGAAGAGAAAATCATGACAAGAAAGCAAAAAGGCAGAGCAGTTGAAAAGTGATGAAGGAAAGGAATCTCCAAAGAAACCCAAGATAGAGGCTGGTAATGATCAGTATGAAGAAAAAACCACATCTGATGTAGCAAACGAATTTGAAGAGTTTTGTAAAGCTGTCAGAGAGCACTTATCTATTGCACAAATGAGGGAAATTCTTGAAGCTAATGATCAGGATTCATCTGGTTCTGATGCTTCAGTTGCCATCAAATGGTTAGTCTATTTTCATGCAAATAATTCATCAATGAAATCACCCAGAGCTTTAAATATATATATATATTATGTTGGCAGCCTTGATATGTTGTTCTATGGACCACTGGAGAAGTGCGAAATCTGCAATGGTGATTTGGAGTTTGATGGCAACCGCTATTCTTGCAAGGGAACTTATAGTGAGTGGTCTTCTTGTGTATACAAAACGAGACGCCCCGCAAGGAAGCAAGAACCACCCAAATTGCCTGATTCTGCCCTGAATTCAGCTGTTGCTGATGTAAATTTCCCTGATTATCTCATTGATTTTATGTTACAAATTTTAATGAACTTCACTAAGCTCTATAATTTCTTCTTCTTCTTATAGTTACTAAACAAGTACGAGGACCCGAGGATCCGGTCTCATCGGTATGTAGGAGTCAATGACAAATCTTTCTTAGGAATGATGATTTCCCTGATGGGCCGTCTTAGTCGCACACATGTATGAGAAACCTTTTCAGTTTAGATATTGCTGAGTGCTGACCCTTTAAATCATTCTTCTTTGACTGAAAGAGCATTAAATCCTTCACGTTGTAACTCTTCTAATGCAGTAATACTGGAAATCCAAGATAGAAAAACATGGAGGAAAAGTCTCTAACTCAGTCATTGGTAACCGTTTTCACCACTGCAAAACGTCTGACTTTATGATGCCTCCATGTTCTCTTGTTCATTGCTTTGATAAAACTTTGTACAACTCTTGGGGGGCAGGTGTAACTTGCTTGGTTGCTTCTCCTGCTGAACGAGAGCGCGGTGGCTCATCCAAACTGATAGAAGCAATGTGAGTATATATATATATATATATATGTGTGAGAATCATTGTGACATTGAAATGATTTTAGGGTTTGGAAGTCTTAGTAATTAGTTTGAATGAGAATGGATGGAACATTTCAGGGAAAGAGGGGTACGAGTGGTGAGTGAAACTTGGTTACTCGACAGCATTGAGAAACAAGAAGCACAGCCATTAGAAGCTTATGACATAGTTACAGATCTTTCTATTGATGGCAAAGGAATTCCGTGGGATAAACAAATTCCTGACGAATCAGCACTTGAATCACTTTCAGCAGAAGTATGTCATTTTACCTCACAGAAATTTCTGGGTAGTTTTTTGAAAGAACTAGATGGTTTATCTCAATTCTGTGATTTAATTGCTTGCAGCTCAAGCTATATGGCAAAAGGGGAGTCTACAAGGATACCAGATTGCAAGAGCAAGGTGGCCAAATCTTTGAGAAAGATGGAATATTATACAACTGTGCCTTTTCACTTTGCGACCAAGGACGATCCATTAATGAGTAATCCACCGAGTTCTTTTATTGATTCTATATCAATAATACAGTAGCTCTATTGCAGTTACTGATTTCCAAGCTTCATTTGTATAGGTATTGTATTATGCAACTTATCAAGGTACCAGACGGTAATCTCCACTTGTACTACAAGAAAGGGAGAGTGGGTGATGATTCAAATGCCCAGGAGCGACTCGAGGAATGGAAGGACGTAGATGGTGCTGTGAAAGAGTTTGTTAGGCTCTTCGAGGAAGTAACAGGAAATGAGTTTGAGCCATGGGAAAGGGAGAAGAAGTTTCAGAAGAAGCCACTGAAATTCTATCCCATAGACATAGTAAACATCCCTTAATTCTCTGATTCTATCCAATTATATTGGTTTTTTTCTTTTTCTCACATGATATCTGTTTCTAATTGGTTTCCTTGTATCCATAAGGATGATGGAGTCGATGTGAGATGTGGAGGACTCGGCCTCCGGCAGCTAGGGGTTGCAACAGCACATTGTAAACTTGAGTCAACTGTTGCAAACTTCATGAAGGTTCTTTGCAGTCAGGAGATTTACAAGTATGCTTCTTTCAACTATTGCCATAACCCATGCTCTTTACAGATATCAGATTTAACCTGTCCTGTACTTCACTGGACAGGTATGCATTGATGGAGATGGATCTAGATGCCCCTGATTTACCAATGGGGATGCTTTCTAATATTCATTTGAAAAAATGTGAGAACCCATTATTTCACCCTTCTGCCTCCTGGTTAACTTCTTCCTATCTTATTTATTTCCACCATGCCTTCAATATCATGGATTTAACCAGGTGAGGAGGTTCTACTAGAGTTTGTTGAAAAAGTGAAATCAATGAAGGAATCTGGACCAAAAGCGGAGGCAGTTTGGTTGGACTTTAGCCAAAGATGGTTCACTCTGATGCATTCCGTCAGGCTCTTTATCTTCAGGGACTATCAAGAACTTGCTGATCATGTGAAATCAGGATGCCTAACATAAATACCTACTCTTTTTAGCTCCATTTTTTTCTTGCTACTAAACCATGGCTTGAATTTTCTAGTGTGCAGCATCATTCGAGTGTGTTCGAGACATTGTTGTGGCATCCCATGTTATTGGACGTATGGGTGAAGATACCCTTGATGACTCATTGTCTGATAGATACAAGAGAATAGGTTGCATAATTTCTCCAGTGGATAATGATTCAGATGACTATAAGATGATCCTCAATTATGTGGAAAAAACTTATGAACCTGTCAAAGTTGCAGACATTGTAAGCCGCACACCCGGGATTTGCATATTTTAGCTCAATTTTGATCTTTCATTAACTTGCTAACAGAGAATTAAATACTTGGTGGATTTTGGTCAGGAATATGGTATATCAGTTGAGAACATCTTCAGTGTGGAAACGAAGGAAGGTCCCACTTTTGATGAAGTAAAAAAGCTACCAAACAAAAGACTCCTGTGGTGCGGTAAGTAAGACCGGTCCTTTGGACACTTTTCTTCTGCAAGTGTGGATGAGTGATCGTTTTTCGTGCTTGATGTAATACTTCCAGGTACTAGGAGCTCGAACCTGTTGAGGCATTTGCATAAAGGCTTCCTTCCAGCTAGCTGTTCTATACCGGTTCCAGGATACATGGTAAAAATGAACGTTAAGCTATAGTTCATCACATTAAGGTCTAAATGCTATTCTCTCAATTGAACATTCGAGTTTTTCTTGACAGTTCGGGGAGGGCATAGTTTGCTCTGATGCTGCAGCAGAAGCCGCCAGATATGGCTTCACCGCTGTAGACAGGCCAGAGGGGTTCTTGATTCTCGCTGTGTTTTCACAAGGCGAAGAAATCATCGAGCTCAAGAACCCACCTGAGGTATAACTACGGGTTATGTTTCAGATTCTACTTCATTCTATCACTATGAAATTCTGAAGTTCCCTCACTGAACTGGACAATACAGGATACAAACCGATTGGTAGAGAAGAAAGTTTGTGTGAAGGGATTGGGGAGAAAGAAACCAGATGAATCGGAGTTCATAGATTGGAAAGATGATATCAAAGTCCCATGTGGTCGTCTGATCCCTTCAGAACACAAGGATAGCCCTCTGGAATACAATGAGTACACGGTCTACGATCCCAAACAGGTATGTCTCAAGAGATTCTTTTATCGGTAAATCGTTGAGAAGTCTGCTAAAATTATGTGTGTCCTGTAAACAGGTGAGCATGAAGTTCTTGGTGGGAGTGAAGTATGAAGAAAAAGATGCAGTGATTGACACAGAGGAATGAAGGTGGGGGAGGTCAAAAAAGGTGTTTCCTTTTGTATAGTTGGAATATGGGATGGAGGGAAAGATGGGATTATCTTATGGGACATGTTGAGGGCTCTTCTTGTACATAATCACCTGGCAGATTAAGAATCTTAATAGTAGATCAAGTGATTCGAGGTGAGAATTTTCTATACAAAACACATGATTACTGGTTACTTATGTTGCTCGCAACCGCGTTCGAAAATGAAAATAGCATAACAGAGCTTTCCGATCAGAAACAGCGAAGGCATTAGGCATGTTTGGCAGAAGGTGATTTGCCAAAGCCAGATACACTGATTTGGTCACAATTTTCCCAATGCAATAACAGCTTGCATTCCGGATGAGCAATGAAACATAGAACCATACCCATTCTTCCAATGTCTTCCCTGTTTCATCCACGAATCGTTTGGCCGAATAGTATTTCGCAATCCTAGCACATAAAATATCAAAACGCGGATCTGTTACCAACAAATGTGCATTGTGAGATTGGATGACATTAGATCAAAACAATTTTTCAGTAAATAATGTATTCGATGAAGTTAATAATCGTTTGTTATTATTATTTATTTATAATCACCAATTATTGTAGATCAATTAACATCAAATATTATAAAAATTATGATAGTTAAATTAATTTCTTTCACAAAATAAGATTGAAACCTTTCTTATTATTCAAGAAATTTAATATTTTATTTTATTAGATTAACTGATTGTTGGTAATCTATTAATAGAATATTAAATTAATTATTTAAGATAATAGAATATAAATAAGAGCCAGATTATTGTCAAATTCCAATTTTTTGTTTTTGATATTCAGCTAAACCATAATTCATGCAATGTTCGAATTTCAAAAATACCGGATCTAAAGTTATCTTGACATAGAATCGATCAACTTATTTCCTTTCTATATTTGTGGGAAACTATAACCAAACCATTCCATGTAACATAAAAAATTATAATAATTTAAGGAACATAAAAATAATGCCATTTATATAGGGAACAATAACCACCACCATCTAAAACTAGTTGACCGGCCGGAGAGATCAAATGATCAATCTAAATTTCATCAATTTATCGACGATCCAAATTCTGGTATTTTGAAAGATACACCCTCCTCCCCTTTTCTTTTTCTTCAGTAATTTTTTATTTATTTATATTTTTTGAAGCTTCTCACCCTTAACAAGTGGGTTAGCTTTGGCGATTTGTTGCTTTCCCATCCCTTTGAAATCAAAAGTACAAGCATGTTGTTCAGGGTACCTATGGATCCCGCAAAACACCATCCCACACCTGCACTTGAACCCCGTGAGCCCCAAGCGTTTCTTGCAACTCAAGCATCTGTTCTGTTTGACCTGAACCGGCTCTTCCACCAAGGCCGTTTGCTTTGTTTCCGCCGTTGGTTCCTCCTTCGCCGCTGCTAAGGATACGGTTGACGTTGATTCGGTCGTTGAAGGTGATGGAAACGAAGAATAAGAAGAAGACGCCGTCGAAGGAACGAAAGTTTGATTAAAGGCTTGTTTGGCAGAGGAAGATTGTTGTTCTTTGAGCTGAAGATCGCGATAACATTTAGAACAAAGATTTTGAGTCGCTTGGCTTCCAAAGAATCCGCAGTTGTTTGCACATAATTGCGGAGCTTGGCATCTGTGTTCTTCCGCCATATCTTTTTCTATCTCGTAAGAAAGAAAATATTTAATAAAAGGAAAATAAATAAAAAGCCACAGATTCGGTACAAAAAGAACCCAGAAAGATCGACAGAAAAATCACCTGCGACGAGAGTTTCAGAGGAAAATACAAAACCGAAATCTTCTTATAAACAGAAGGGAAAGAAGAAAGAAAAAGTAAACAAGGGAAGGGAAGGGAAGGGAAAGGAATCGCTCTTTTTTGTGGGGGAAGAAAAGAAAGAAAGGGGAGGGATTTGGCCGAAAATTCCACGCACTTTTCCTTTTACCGGGGCTTCTCTACTTTGCATCCAATAAATACAATAAATATTACGCATTAAAATTAACATTTACCAGAAGAAGAAAAAACATAAATTAAAACAGCCACAATTTCGGGTGGATGTTAAACTACGTTAATTATGTCCTCTCTTTTGTTTTCTTTAATAAATATAAATGCATTCTTTATTATTTTCTATACTTTTTTTTTTTTGAAGTGGTAAAATCTTATATTCCAATAACATCATCAATAACAACTTATTTGATACAATTAGGTTCATCAAAGTAAAATCAAACTGGATTGTTGGAAGTCAGAACCTTCTCTACTTTTTTTTTTTAAAGTGATAAAATCTTATATTCCAATAACATCATCAATAACAACTTGTTTGATAAAATCATGTTCATCAAAGTAAAATCTTATATTCTAATACCATCATCAATAACAAATCTTATTTTCTATACTTAATTGGGAGTTGGGACTCCAAATTGGACCAAAATCGAGACGGCCAAATCAAAACATTATGACGTAACGTTGCTCCGGAAGTGGGTCCAGTTTTATCTCGTAATAAATTGATACGATAATGACAATGGAGAAATTTCAATCCGTTCTCATTTTTTAATGGGCATTCCATGTTTGTATTTTTTTAATAAGTATTATATTAATATTATTAAAATTCTGTAGTTTTAAAATCATTTTCATATTTAATTTAATTTAATTATATTCACATCATGTTTGATATTGTCGAATATACAAACCAGTGAAGAATGAGGTAATAGAACATGTATAATTTTCAACCAACGAGAAAAAATAAAAATCTTTTACCAATTCTCCTCCGGACACGTGTTTGGACTAGCAGTGTCCAACGTCGTAAACCCACTCTAGCCCAAACCTCCTCAACAGATTGCCATAAATATACTCTTGTTTCCAAAGATTATCGAATGACCCTTGAGCTTTAAGACTAGCAAAACAATTACTTGGTGGTCGAGCAAGCAAGAAATTGTAAAATGTTCGGAAAATAAACATGACAGCTCCCTTGTTGAAGACGTAACACTAAAAATCATCGAGTTTAGACTTGTAGGTGCGAATCGAGAACGAGTCGAATTTAGGGGTTCTTTTATTAGCCACTAAAGTATAAATAAAATCAAATTCAAGTTCTAGTTATCGAGTATGCATAAAGGTTGGGTGATGGCGATAAAAAATAACCCCACCCCATTGCCATCTTGCACCATTGTAATTCAGGGTCGGAAGGATTTATTTCAACAGCTTATACAGCATACTCGACAAATTTTAAAGGACATTGACTGGAATGCTAAATGATTCCAAATTCACGAAACATGACACAATAATTCATCAAATAATGTGATGCCATGAAAGATTCAAATTACAATAATCCAAGAAAAATGTGAGTTTTATAACTCAAGGTGTCCGATTGTGCATGCCTCTATCCTATTCAAGCATGAGGCAACTCAAAGGTTGGTCCGTCGGAAAATATAGACTGAAGGCTCTACTTCGTTACGGCAACAATATATGCATTCCAAGCGTCCTCTTGAGGGAAAGTTTTTACCTCTTCGTACTTCAAATCTCGTGCAACTCCGAATCCCTCTGTGCATCTGTTTTCATTAGTGTCCGGCATCTTTCGAAGCCAGAAATGGACAGATGGAAATCCAGCCTCTTCTAAACAGTCTCTAATCTCCGGCAAAGACCACCTGAAAATTTAAGCCGTATGATATCATATCCAAAGGCAAGTTATTGAACTGAAAGGAGAAACCTGACAGTAACGTGGCATCATAAACTAGAAAATATGATAGGGATTTACTAAACTTACAGCCTCCAACTGTATGAAAATGCATGGCGAAGTTTCTTCTGCTTCTTTTGAAGATGAAAGTGGAGACTGATCCTTGTTTTGCGTTCGATGATGTCGAATTCAGCTTGCTCCCAAGTATACTGCACACATTGCATCAAATGTTACAGTATGGATCTCATAACATGAGATGTCCGCATCAATGGCTTGCACTAGGCTTGCACTAATAGAAAAACAAAAATAAACCAGACATTGAAGTAAAATGAATCTTTTCTTATGCCCGAGGGTTAGGCAGACCGAATGTATACTATTTTTTATATGAATCCTTAAACAGTACTTTACATTAACATTGTTGTATGGGCAGAATGACTATACCGTAAAATTGGGAAATCTCCTTCGAAGTCTTAAGGACTGCTCGGATGATGTGCCACCATATAAATCCATCGCGAATATACCACCCTTTTTAGACAAGGCTTCAAGAACATGCTTGAAATACAAAACAAGTTCCGCACGTTTATGGAGACAACAACAGCTGTAATTAAAAGCACAGATAATGTCTCTTGCAGGTATTTTAGCATCTGCCTTAATGGACTCTTCATTCGTTGAAGCACTAGAGCCCTCAAGCATGTTATGTTCTGTTGCAGCAATCTCGGAATCGTAATCACTTTCCTCCAGCTGAATGTTCTTTATCAGTTCATGTGGCTCAAAGCCGACTAATCTTGCCTCTCGAGGATTCAGTACATTCCCATGAAAGAGGGATATTCTGGAATACCCGTCAGCCCCAACTTTGTTGATGTTGTTCTCCAGGCACCACTGCAATGCCTCAAGGTCGAGATCCAATCCTACAGCTGTCCGCCTAGGATCACTTCGAAGCCATTCTGTACTGTCAAGCAGAGTAAATTCTCAGTGCTTACTACTTTGCGCTTTGCAATGTTAATTAATGACCATACTAGAGAGAGAACCAAGAGAATGACAACACCAGTTTTGAGTTGCTACGAATGACCGACATATTATCAAAATATATAGGCAATCGAAGTACTGTTTCACTCATTAACCAAACTATATCATCCGTATATCACAACTTATTAGATAGGGTAAAAAACAGAGTGATTTTATTTACTGACAACTATCTGAAGTAAAGATTCCCAACCCGAGGCACTTCAGAAAGCAGTGTTGCCTTTGCCTTATACCCAAACATAAACTATAGAGACAATGACTTGTTTTACCATCGTATTTACTTCAGCATACATGTTTTGGTGACATTCCAGCAGTATAAGCGTAGATTCAAAAGTCATAAAGCATGCAACATTTACAAAATGAAAAACGAAATCCCAACTACAAAACTAGGGGTGACAATTGACATGCATTAAGAATCCAATGGCGGCCTCGACTTATTCATTTGTCTCTTAAACCATTTGGTTAATTTGCAGCATTAGCTATAAAAAGGCGATGCTAACAAGTGGGATACATACCTAAGAAGTGCAGTGCCACAGAAATCTTCTTGAAGATGCAAAGGCAATCTTCCACCCACATACATCAAAAAGAACTTCTGCAAATAACTTATATCTCCTTTTGGTGACTGCATTCAACAAAAAATTATATTAATAAAAATATATAATTAGTAAGAAACATAAAATAATTAGAAAGAACCAATCTTTACATTACCTAGGACATTAATAAGCTACTCTGCATTGAATTTTACTTCCCCGACTAATGCAAGGCAATACTCTTTAGCTTTGGCTTTCACAAAATAAACTGGCAAGACAAAAACCTAAACTTTTCTAATCTGCCCACTTCGAAAATTCACTGAGCAATAATAATATAAAAGGAAGAACAAAAAAACTCCGAGGGGTGATTATAACCTGTACTGATTGTTGGTAAAGAATGAACTTTGATGGCGTTTCCATTGATGAGTTAGGGTCATTTTCTTCTTCTTCTTCTGGTTCTTCATCTTGCTCTTCTTGATGTTCTTCAGAATCTTGGGGAGGCTGTTGAAAACTGGAGCTTTCATCTTCGTAATCGTCATCATGTTGTACAGTGTAATAAGATGCTGCACCTCTATGACTTGTTATTTGTTGGTGCCTTTGTTTCTTGTCTCTCTTCCCCATTCTTTTCGTTTTTTCACTCTCTCCCCGCCGCCAAGCTAACAGCTTAAAACCCCGCGCCCTCACCAGTCCACCCCCTTTTTTCCCTAATGCGGAGGTTGAATGAAAACGGGTTTTGTAGCGTTAAGAATTGTGATAAACTCTCAGCCCGTTGATTAATCACTCTAAACTTTAGGGTGAACTACTTTAAATACCCCATACCTGTAGGTTTTGACTTGTTTAAGCCACCAACGTTTTAATTTTATCAATTTTAACATTAATATTTAAGTTTAACTGCAATTATATCACTGTGTCGTTAATAGATTAACGTCATGATGACATGACATCTCTGCATCATGATGTTGCTGATGTGGCTCCCTCACTAAAACGATGTCATATTTACATGACTGTTTGGTGCAAAAAAACCCCAAAACGACGTAATTTTATTTAAGAAAATTTAGCAAATAATACATTTAAAGGAATTTGAACTCGAGACCTTTTAAAACAAAACTTAAGAGTAAACCACTATGCCAACTAAATTTTTTTATATAATCATAAAAAAAACATTATACATAACATGAGTCATCATTTCAAAAAGTTATTTTCTAAAAAAAACTCATTAAATTATTAAAATTCTCAAAAAATACCTTAAATTTCATAAAATCTAAAAAAAATTCCTAAATTCCTAAATTTCCCAAAAAAATAATAAATTCTAAATCGTAATCCCTAAAATCACAAGATCCATTTTTAGGGAGTTTATGATTTTTTGGTAATCCCTAAATTAATTTTAAAAATGAATCTTATGTTTTTTAGGGATTACGATTTAGAGTTTATGATTTTTTGATCATCCCTAAATTCATTATAAAAAGTGAATCTTATGAATCCTATGATTTTTAGGGAGTACGATTGAGAGTTTGTGATTTTTTGTAATCTTTAAATTCATTCTATAAAATGAATCTTATGATTTGTATGGATTATGATTTAGAATTTATGATTTTTTAGTATTTTTTAGGAATTTAGGAGGTTTTTTTAGATTTTTTGGAATTTAATGTGTTTATTGAGAATTTAATAATTTCATGAGTTTTTTAGAAAGTAACTTTTGAAATGATGACTCATGGTATGTATAATGTATTTGTAAAATTATGTTAAAATTTTAAGTTGGCATAGTGGTGAAGCCTTACCCTATAATTCAAAAGGTTTTGGGTTCAAATCAATATTTTTAAAATCGGACCGGACATTGAATCGGTGAAGGTACTGGTTCACTGGTTCAATCGGGTTCATCCGCGGTTAAACCGGATTTTATATAAAATTATATTTTTTTATTTTACATAATATTCAAAACAATATTAATATATATGTAACACTTTTTTTAAGTTTACAATATTAAAAGGTATAAAAATATCACAAGTCATAACATATATAAATTAAAACCCATAAAATCAAATAAAACAAAATGATTCAAATCAACTACAACATAATATTTAAGGTAAAATATATTAAATAATAAATATAATTATATAACTATAATAAAAAAATAAAATTGGGGCTTAAAAAATCATAACAAATGATGTCATTTGGTTTATTTAAAAAAAATAATTCACATGGCTAAGAAACATAGAATATCATCCCAAAAGTTTAAAGAGTAAAATATGAGAACAAAACAATCCCACATGCTAAGAAACATAGAAGAGCATCCCAACTTACTTCTATAAATAATAGAGGTAATTTGACATTCAAAATCATGGAGCCTTTTGGTGAGCACAGAGCGAATTATTATATCGCTTCAATTGAGCTCAAATATTAGGCTTCAATCGAACTTCTAATTTTTTTTTTGAGTTCGAGCCTTTTTGAGTTCAAGTTTTAATATTATATTTCGAGTTTAAGTTGAACTTGATAATTTTTAGCTCGTGAGTTTTTGAGTCGAGTTGAGATTACTTTTAAAGTTTTCGAGTTCGAGTCAAGCTCAACAATACTTTAATTTGACTCGGCTCGTTGAACAAACGACGTTGTTTGGTTTAATGTTTTTTAAAAGAAAAAAAGTGAACTGGCGGTTCAAACCAGTTTTGCCGGTTTTCAACCGGTTCACCCCGGTTTTACCGGTTTTCAGTTGGTTCTTCCGGTTTTCAGCCGGTTCATTGCCAGTCCGGTTTTGTGAGGTAACCGGTTGAACCGGCCGGTTCGGTCCGATTTTGATAACCATGGTTCAAATCCATTCAAAATGCATTATTTACTACTTTTTCTCGAACAAAACTATATCGTTTTGATTTTTTTTTAGCATCAAAGGCAGTCATGCCAAAACGACGTCATTTGGGTGATAGAGTCACGTCAACAATGTCACGCGCGGAGATGCCATGTCATCATGTCGTTAAGCCATAAACGGCAAATTGACATAATCGCAGTTAAACTTAAACGTTAGTATTAAAATTGAAAAAATTGAAACGTTGGTGGCATAAACAAGCTTAAGCCTAAAGGTGAGTAGTGTTTGAAGTAGTTTACCCTAAATTTTATAAATATTAAAGATATAATAAAATTTAATATTATATATATATGTATATATAATATATAAATAAATAATTATATTAAAATAAATTAAAACAATTATAGTTATAATTCTACATATTTTATAAAATTATTATTTATATTTATATTTATTATGTTCTTATAATATTTGCAATATTAAGTTAAAAATACAAATTCAAAGTTAGTTTTTTGAAAATAATGATAATCTTTCAATATAATTCTAACGTAAAATTGATTAATTTTTAATCATAAACTAAGTTGAATTCTTAAGAGCTTAGTTTTTATTTATTTTTTATCAAAACACTGATCACTTGTAATCAATAATATATAATAAATTATATAACAAAAATATATAAAAGAGTAGGAATAATTTTGTTAATTTTAAAATAAAAAATTATAAAATAATATATATTTTATAAATATTAAAAATTTATAATTAAAATCATAATAACTTTAAAAAATGAAAAAATAATATTAAAAAGAAATATGTATTGTATTTCATTAAGATATAAATTTAAAATTCCAGTGTACGTACTTTTAAAAGAATATTAATGATAAATTATTATTATAATTTAGTTTTAAAGGAAGTGAATAGTTTTAGGTTGAGTAGGGTTTCGGTGAAAATAATTTTGGAATTTATGAGGTAAAAAATGATCGAACTGAAAATTTTGAGGTCTAAAAATCGACGATGATGGCAAGCGATATCCACTTAAGGTGACTGACAATGATAATGGTGAGTGGTGACCGACTACAATAGACTTTGGTCAAATTTAAGATTAATTGATATTTTATATAAAATTTAAGAGTTAAAATAACATGAATTTAATATCAAATTAATATTTTATCTAAATTTTAAGTATCAAATTTAAAATAATTCATTTGACTAATATATTTTATCATCAAAATAATCAAAATTAATCCTTTAAAAAATTAATCAAAATTAATAAGTCAATAATCAAAATGTAGCAATTTTAAAAATTAATCAAAATTAATAAGTCAATAATCAGAATGTAACAATCAATAATATAAACAAATAATTGAAATATATCTTTACTTTAATAAATAAAAATACACAAATATAAAATAAAAATGATGAACCCAATAATTTACTTAAAGAGCTAATCCAAAAATATATATTTTTTACTTTAATAACTTAATGATTACATATTTCTTATAATTTAATGATTAAATAAAAAATATTAATTTTCAATCATTAATGATATTTTTTTCTGAAATTTAAAAATTAATTTGTACTAATTAATATTTCAGTTGCCAAAAAAAATCCAACACGCTACTGTGAGTTGTTTGGCAATAAAAAAATGGAATATTTCTCTACCCTTCTTCCGCCTTTCCCCACTCTAATCTTTTGATCTCTGTTTCTTCTAAATCTCAAAATCTTCAAAAGCCCATTTGGGAAAGAAAATAATCTTCAATCGATCGCATGCAATTCCATTGAAAAAGAGTAAAACTTGGGTAAAAATATGTATAGCAATTTCAAAGAACAAGCGATAGAGTTCGTAAAGCAAGCAGTACAAGAAGACACTGCTGGGAACTACAGCAAAGCGTTCCCCTTATACATGAACGCACTCGAGTATTTCAAGACCCATTTGAAATACGAGAAGAACCCCAAAATCAGAGAAGCAATCACCCAGAAATTCACCGAGTATTTACGCCGTGCCGAGGAGATCCGTACCGTTCTTGATGAGGGTGGGCCAGGACCGGCTTCTAATGGGGACGCTGCTGTTGCCACGCGCCCCAAAAGTAAGCCCAAGAATGGTAGTGGCGGAGGTGAAGGAGGTGATGATGAGGATCCGGAACAGGCTAAATTGAGAGCTGGGCTTAATTCGGCTATTATTAGGGAAAAACCTAATGTTAAGTGGAATGATGTGGCTGGGTTAGAAAGCGCTAAGCAGTCTTTGCAAGAAGCTGTTATTTTGCCGGTCAAGTTTCCTCAGTTTTTTACTGGTTAGTTCTTTTTTCTTCTCGTTATTGCCTTTGTGAGGCTGATTTCATGTATATGTATATATAATTGGCGGCTTTAGCTGGGTTTTTGTAATTTCTCGTGGATAATGAAATGGGCCAATTTTTTATTGTTGAGCTATCGAGGATTTAATCGATTTGTGGGTTCTTCGTTATAGGTTTTGCTTCTAATGAATTTTGGTTTTAGGCTATAATTTTAACAATTCGTTGTGAATAGTAAAACGGGGCGAAGGTGGATTATGGAACTGTTTAGAATTTTATTCGATCGCACCAGTGATAATATTTAGAAAGGACTGGACCCCCAGCCCCCAAGAGTGCACCTTTGTTCTCCACGGATAACACTTTCTGCTACTAAATGCAAAGTAATTGAAAAGAAGGTAATTTTGATGTCGCCTCTTCAAGTTACTAGTGTTAACCCGAGGGACTCGGTCTGATATTTTAACCTGATGCTAGTAACTTCAGTTGGCGACTTAAAGATTACCTTCTTTTCGTTTTGTTGAGTGTTACTTGAGATTTTTAGTCAAATGCCAGTCATTGATGTTATATTTTTATTTTTAGATATATATGAGATTCACCTGCATGCTTTCTCTGTTGTTTTGATGCAAAACAATAAGCTCGTTTAATACATTTGTTGGACTGTTCCCACTTAACTTTTGCTGATAATTTTTATGGCCACTTCTGGCACACTTTGCCATCATTTTCATGGCAGTGCATGAGTTGATTTCTAGACTAGTACCACTCTATTAGGAAGAAAACAAGGTTTCACTTACTGGTGAACTTTATGAAACTGAAGGAGTTAATTTGAGATTGTCTAGCAGCTTCGGAAATTCCTATTTATTATTGTGTATGTGTTAATTTGATGATTGTACTTGTTAATCTCGGCGACACTGTTTATCATCATTAACTTAATGCTGAAATTCTTGCAAAACCTAAATGTGAGGAACATCATCTGGTATCATGTTTACCAAGACCTGCTTGCTGGCTCTGTTAGTGTCAATTTAGAAACTGTTGTTTGCAACAATTAAAACTCCACCTTCTTTAAGCTGAACTTAATCTACGTTCCCCTTTTAACTGCTTTTCCAATGTTTCTATTCATTATCATTTCAACTTTACTTGTTCTACTTTTAGGAAAGAGAAGGCCATGGAGAGCTTTTCTTTTGTACGGGCCACCTGGGACTGGGAAGTCATACTTAGCCAAGGCTGTTGCTACTGAAGCAGACTCTACATTTTTCAGGTAAACCAATATATTTAGCCAGTTCATCTGCACATAAAACAAGTAACGGATAAATTCTAATTTTGTTGCTGCTGATATTTTTTGTAATAAGGCTTTCAATCACAAATAAAGCCCAATTTTGCTTCTGCTCAGGTTTTTGGCAACTTGGTTTATTATTTCGAACTCTTCTATCGTAATTTGAATCACACTGAAGTGCTATGTCTTTCACTTACCTTAATTTACTTTCTCCTACTTTAGATATTTTTTTTTTAATTTCCAGTCCCGAGTCCAATTAAATGATGACATTGATAGATTACTTCAAAACTTTACCACGTCAAGTGGTAATAATAGTTATTTGAAGGACAACAAAAATAGTAGTAACGATTGAGATAACAATGATAAGGATTTTTCAGTGTTTGCTCCAGGAATGGGCTTTGGCTTGCACAGTTATTAAAGCCATACAAATACAATGTATAACATCCATTGATGTTAAGGTCTTTTATTATGATTTCATTGCACGTAATTTAAGTGTAAAGCATAGTTTGTATAGTGCAGGGCATATGGGAGTTTTAAAAAGATGCCTTATGTGATTATTGATTCCCTGTAAAACAGTTTATATCGGGGAGTAGGAATGGTTATTGGGAAATCTAATGTAACCTTGAAGATATGTTAGCAGTTGTGCTGTTTTCTATGTCATTGAGTTAGGCATGACGTCATCTGTCAATTCTTTTCATACTTGCTCTTTCTTAATTTAGTGTGTTATGCTGACACTTTTTGTCGATTATAAAGACTTAATATTTATCAGTTTTTCTTGTGCTTAACAATTGGGCTTAATTTTTTTTTATCCTGTCGTCGTCTGCTATAAAGACATGATAATTATGTTTAGTTTTGATATTGCAAACCTAGGCTTTTATTTTTTAATATTGTTGATTATAATATAAGATTTTGCTAACAAGGTCCCTAAGGTTACCATTTAAAGTTACCATATTAGGCGATATTTTCTTTTGATGCATAGAGAATCAACATGTTAACTGTCAACTAACACTATCACTACAAATAGAATATTAACTAACCTTAAAGAGTGCCCTAAGGGTAGCAGAATCCATTCATGTATGATAATAGCTTTACCTTTTTGTATCACATTTAATTTATCTTTTCAAACGTTTTTTGTGATTAATTTTCTATATACATCTGTTCTATTTATGTGCATGTTTGCTAGGTTTCTGTTTGTTTTGCTTTTTTGAAATTTAATCCCTTTTCCACTTCTTTCTCTGCTAGTGTTTCTTCATCAGACCTTGTGTCAAAGTGGATGGGAGAAAGTGAAAAGCTGGTTTCAAACCTTTTCCAGATGGCTCGTGATAGTGCTCCTTCCATCATATTTGTTGATGAAATAGATTCCTTGTGTGGTCAACGAGGTGAGGGCAACGAGAGCGAAGCATCAAGACGTATCAAAACTGAACTTCTTGTGCAGATGCAGGTATTTGTCAGTGGGTGAATGTGCTAAGAATAATTTAAGATTGCTTTGTCCAAGGGTTTTCAAGATATTATTTTCATATGAATTATGTTCTTACCATCTCCAAACAGTTTTCATTTTTATCTTTCAGGATTTGGTGTAAATTCTTTGGTCTTCAAATTTTAAGTTTACCAAAAGGCTTGTTTGCGGTTTGCGGTTTATAAATATTTAATACTAGCTTCAAAAGGGGTTTTCTATTATAATTTTTTTTAAAGTCCAAAGAACTTTTTTGCCTAATAATCGCACATTCATTTTATTGATAAAGTCATAACATGAAAAAAAATGAAGACCATTCATTATTCAGCCCATTTACAAATGACTTGCAACACAAAGAAATTACCTTGGGGTTTTAGGATAATGCAACTTTTCTTAATAATCTTGTATATTTAGGAAGACATTTTATGTGTATGTTGATGAAGGATTAATATATTTTTATGTAAGTTATTTCTGTTGCTGTATTGTGCATCATGTTATTTTTTGAGACATTTCCCCTATTGCCCCTATTTGTATTATACGGTTTACATATTTCATTTTTGGCTGTGCTATATTGTGACAAGTAGATATTTATTTCTTTCCAAATTTTTAAGCTTAATGAATGGAATCTTATACCTTTTTATTTCTATGTTTTAGGGTGTCGGAAATAATGATCAGAAAGTCCTAGTGCTTGCAGCGACGAATACTCCCTATGCACTTGATCAGGTGAAGGATATATCTACATCTATTTTGCATATATTCATCTTGAATCAGCTGAGATGGATTTATTTTGTTAATCAATTGTTCTTTAGGCCATCCGTCGCCGTTTTGATAAGCGTATTTACATTCCTCTCCCTGATTTGAAGGCTCGACAACATATGTTCAAGGTACTAGACCTTATCCCTAATGATTGGAAAAAAGAAAGAAAAAAATGCTTGGTTGTTTTCTTGTTTTGTCTTCCTTTTCAATAAAATCATTCAATTACTTTTGTATCTTTGACATGGTTTCCTTGCTTTGGTACAATAAATTGCAACAGGTGCATTTAGGTGATACTCCTCACAACTTGACTGAAAGTGATTTTGAAAGCTTAGCTGGACGAACAGAGGGGTTTTCAGGGTCAGATATATCTGTTTGTGTAAGTGCAAAATCTATGTCAGATGCTTAAATCGGTTTTTTTCTTGTTCTCCTTTTGTCGAATTAAATCTTAAAACTGAATCTTAACATGAAGGGCTAATATTAACTCATTTGTGCTTTATGTCTTAACAGGTAAAGGATGTTCTTTTTGAACCTGTTCGTAAAACCCAAGATGCAATGTTTTTCTACAAGTCGCCTAATGACATGTGGATGCCATGTGGACCAAAGCAACCAGGTGCTGTCCAAATTACAATGCAGGAATTGGCAGCCAAAGGACTTGCAGAACAGGTATGGAGTTTGCTTGAGAAGCTGTGTTTACGAGTTGTTCTTACTTTTTGGTGTCTATGTTTCTATATACTTTTGAGATTCACCATTTTTTTTATATTTACTTAACATGGAAAGGAAAATCAAATTAAAGAAACAATTTCCTAGGGTATTTCGGAAAACAACACTGGGATAATAATTCGTAATTACTATTATGAAGTGCAATAAATATATAATTTAATGATGATTGAAGTAATTAAAATTCCGTTTTCATTGATTAATGATCGTGCAGATCCTTCCGCCTCCTATTTCGAGATCAGATTTTGATAAGGTGCTTGCAAGACAGAAGCCAACGGTGAGCAAATCTGATCTGGAGGTCCATGAAAGGTTTACAAATGAGTTTGGAGAAGAGGGCTGACGGCTTTGATGAATATGTCACATTGATCTACTCTCCGGTTGTGAGTGCAATCACTGTAATTTGTATTTTATTAATAACCGCTGGATCATTCAAGGAATTGTTTCTATTTAGTTTCGTCAGTCAAGGGGGGGGGGGTGAGGGAGGTGTCTTGACTTCCCCTTTTCTGTATTCAGATGCAAAGAACGTTTCCATACATAGTTCATTGCTCGTCTTTTTCTACTGTGTAAAGAACATTACTCTGAAAATATTGGCTTCAAATACCTGAATATATGTTGTGCCCTTCTCCACCTAAACTTGATGGAATGTGTTTTTCAAATGTTTTTCCACTTTCAGGTATCATTTGGAGCATCGGTTATTGCTGCCAACCGGTTGGATGGAAACGAAAGTAGGGAAGTTATTTGTTTAATTTTATTTTTGGAATGCTTGTTTATTTATTTATAGTCTAGGTTGCTTTTTTAGTATATTCGTATTATATGAAATTTAACGCATACTATGATATATATTTTGGCATGTATGGTGTCGCATGCTTTTTTGAGGTTCTTTTTCTTTGGTCTGTGCAATTTATGTCACGTCACCATTTTCTGATGATTGATGAATACCATATTGATTCATAAAAACCCTACTGCCTATGGGATTTGATTTTTGGTCACAAAATGTATACGTGTATATGAAATGTCTTATTACATAAACTATCAACTACGTGGTGTGGCGTTCACTTTTAATCATTCTACAGGGTGCTAGTAACATAAAATAATTGTTACTATTATTTTTGTCCATTCTATCAGTCTTATAATTCCATATAAAATAATGTAGTTTTAAAAAAATATATAATTGCTTGGATTTAAAGTTAAAACTTTTATTTGGCATTATGTTTTAAAAGAATTTCGAGAACCAATATTATTAGATTAGATCTGATTTATAAAATATAAACAAATGGTTTTACGCTCTTTTGCAGTCTTTCGTATCTAGATCATTCTCACACAGGCTTACAAGGAAACGAGTAGATTCTTTTTACCGTTAACAAGTTTTATCCTTTTACTTGTAACTCTCGTTATCTATAATTTAGGGCGTAAACGAGTCGATTCGACTCAAAAATTTTGAAATAGAACTCGTCTCGATTTGAAAATTTTCAAGCTCGACATGAACTCGAAATCTTGAACTGAAGCTCGTGAGTAGCTTGAAATGGAAAAAAAATTCTTAAACTTAACTCAATTGAAGTTTCAAACTCAAACTTGAGTATTAAATACATGAAAGTATTACTATATTTTTTAAAATCAATACATAAATATTAATATTATTAATAATTTATTTTAAAAAATAAAATCTTAATATATTATATTTTCGAGTTGTTCACGAGCTTTTCTAATCGAATATTAAGTAGTTCGTTTCGGCTCATTAAAAACTCGAGTCGAGTCCATTAGATCCAAGTATTTATCGAGTCTAGATCGAGTCAATATCGAGTAGTTCACGATCTGTCTCATCTCATTTACAGCCCTAATCTATATCTTTTGGTCTCTCTTACCTCTGTAATCGAACTAGGGCTTTTATTCTTACCAAAAAATACCAACAAAAAAAAAAACCCTTTTATTAGCATTCTTTTGGTCAAGTATTGGAATTAAAATGGGTGAAAAACATTTTTATTTTTTTCGTTAAAAATTTCCTTTCTGCTTTCTCTTACCATTACCCATGCCTGGACGGCTGGACCCTTGCTTCTTCGCTTCTAAAGCACTCCAAACCCCTAATTTTTCATATTTTCCTTTCTGGGTTTTCCAAAAAACAAGGTAGTTTCTCTTTTTCTGGCTTTTGGTCATTTCCCACTATTGTTTTTTTTCTTTTCTTTTAATATTTCTAGGTTTTGGGTACCAAGAGCCTTTATATTTAATTTTCATTCTTAGCTGTTGGTTGGTTTTTTTCCCTCGTTGAAACGCTATGAACTTTACTAGTATTCGCATGAGTTTTAACCAAACATAATGCAACCAGAAGCATAAATTCAGAGGATTATGTGAAGTAGCCAAAGGAGAGAGATGATTGCTGAGAAACCAAGTTGGGTTAGGCATGAGGGAATGCAGATATTCTCCATTGATGTTCAGCCTGGTGGTCTAAGGTTTGCCACTGGTGGAGGTGACCACAAGGTAAAATTCCCGTCTTGGCACTTACATATTTCCTTTGGGGATTTGGGTTTCTACTGTTGGAGGTGATCATTGTCGCAGAGTTAGCAGTTATATCCTACAATGATATGAGCAGGGTTTATCTAAGTTAGCTGACAAATAGAATCTTCCATTGGTGTGTTAGATCATTTGTTACTTTTTAATTCTTGAAATTTCACTTTTTTCCATCGTCTGAAAAATGCAGGTTCGAATTTGGAACTTAAAATCTGTTGGCAGGGAATTGGAAAACGATGAAGCTACACAAAGGCTTCTTGCAACCTTGCGTGATCACTTTGGGTCTGTCAACTGTGTTAGGTGGGCTAAGCTTGGACGTTTCTTTGCATCCGGGTCTGATGATCAAGTAAATCTAATTCATGAGAGAAAGCCTGGTTCTGGAGCCACTGAATTAGGCAGTGGAGAGCCTCCTGATGTTGAAAATTGGAAAGTTGCTATGACACTGAGGGGACACACTGCAGATGTGATAATCGTAATGCTCTTAATGTTAGAACATTTTACCAGCGATAAGAATTCGACTTTCTATCTTGTAGTTAGTTTTGTTCTGCCGCATATTGATTGATTTTTCATTCTTGGAATAAAACATCATATCTTATCCAGAAATTCAGTTTCTGCAGCAGCTTTTTGTCACCACACAAATTGCCAATGCTATACTTTTGAGTTTTTGTTTATTTTGTTATGGTGATAAGTTAGAATAAGGATAGATGGTTGAAATTCCCTACTGTAATGTTGTATGCACCCCTTAATTTATTGTAGTGATTTCTTATAAGCACTGGCTATCTTCTGACTTCGAAGTTCCATTTATTGTCGTTGGAAGTAGGTGGATCTTAATTGGTTTCCTGATGACTCAATATTGGCTAGTGGCAGTTTGGACAACACCGTCCATAAATGGAGTATGAGCAATGGCATGTCTGTATGTTCTCCAATGGGTTCTTCATGCCAGCGGTTTTACATGGTAAGTATGGTCCTTTTTTTGATCTGTTTTGCTAAGTTCGGCGTTCGAAACCCAACAGATGCTGCTACTTTCACAGGTGGCCGTATCCTTTTCTCGAGCTTAATACGCCATGGGCTCCTTTATGGTAATGTGGGAAGCTAAACACAGTTCAATTAAGTTCTCTCCCTGTTTATGAAAGAATCTGATGAATGGCCATTTGCAGGTACTTTGCCCTTGATGTGGTCCATATCCCCTGCTATGGCATGTATGCACTTATTGTAAAAGCTAAAAATTCAATCCTCCCAAAATTGTTCCCTCGTGCTTTTGTGAGATCATTCTAGTCTCGTTAAAGGAGTTGCCTGGGATCCCATTGGATCATTCATAGCAAGTCAGTCTGATGACAGGACAGTCATAATATGGCGAACAAGTGACTGGAGTCTTGCTCATAGAACAGAGGTCCATTGGGCAAAATCAGTATGTTAATCTGTGATGGTAGAATTTTTTTTTTGAACTCTGTTTCATTTTCTGATGGAAATGTGTTCTTTTCAGCTGGGATCAACGTTTTTCAGGCGGCTTGGATGGTCACCTTGTGGCCATTTCATAACTACCACCCATGGTTACAAAAAGCCAAGGCATTCTGCACCTGTTCTTGAGAGAGGGGAATGGGCTGCCACATTTGACTTCTTAGGTCACAATGCCCCGATTATTGTAGTGAAGTTTAATCACTCAATGTTTAGAAGGAATTTTGCCAATTCACAGGAAGTGAAAGCTGCTGCACCTGTTGGCTGGGAAAGTGGAGCTGCTAAGATTGGGGGTAATGAATCACAGCCATATAATGTTATTGCTATTGGAAGCCAGGACCGCATTATAACTGTCTGGACAACTGCAAGTCCTCGACCTCTCTTTGTAGCCAAACATTTCTTTGGCCAAAGTGTTGTAGATTTGTCCTGGTAAAGTTTTCACTTTTGTGAATGGTATATAGTTTTGTCATTTATTCACACATTTGTTTGCTATTCTTTTGTGCCATTTTTTTTGTAACCTCTTTTCATAAACAGGAGCTCTGATGACTATTCTCTCTTTGCTTGTTCATTGGATGGGACAGTGGCTACTTTCCATTTTGAAGCAGAACGAACTTGGCCACAGGCTAAGTGATGCTGAACTTGATGAGTTAAAAATATGTCGCTATGGTGACATTAGAGGTCGACAGGCTAATTTGGCGGAGAGCCCAGCACAGTTATCGCTCGAAGTTGCTTCAGCCAAGCAAAGTACTAGTAAAAAAGTAGCTTTGGATGTTCAGCCGAATCAGATACCTGCAAAACCTTCTGTTGAGTTGGGGGTCACAAACAAAACTGCTGAGCCTCAGAATGATAATGTGAAGAAGAGCGGACCTGCTGCTATTAATGGATTAAATAAAGCAAAGAGTCCTGCTCGGATTTCTAGTCCTGTGAAACAAAGAGAATATAGATGCACTGATGGTAGAAAGAGGATCATTCCTGAAGTAGTCAGTGTGCCTATTCAGCGGGAAAATATTTGTGGCGATGCTCAATCTCCTGCAATAGATTTCCCTGTTGCATCTTCTGATCACAGAAAAAAGGACAACGGTGTAGTTCCGACTGGTGGTGGTTTGATAGAAGCTTCTGTCAGGGGAACCATTGGTAGAAGACTGGACTTAAAGGAGCGATCTGGGGTCACTGCCAGGGCAACTGTTACCGACTGCCTGGTTATTGAGAAAGTTCCCGACTCTGCAGGTCAAGAGCGTGGCGTCAATGTGGAGAAGTCTGGGAGCATGAAGCCTTCAAGCTCCACTGCTTCCTCTACCACGTCTTTTTCAATTATGGTTTGACAAGAAAGAAGGCGAGGATATGACTCCAGTTTGCTTGGAAGCATGTCTTAGCGAACATGCTGTGAATGACATTGCTGGTGTAGAACATGCATGTATGATGGAAGAAACAGAAATTGTTTGCACAAATGGGTCTCAAACCCTTTGGTCTGATCGTATCTCTGGAAAAGTTTCTGTTTTAGCTGGAAATGCGAACTTCTGGGCTGTGGGATGTGAAGATGGATGCCTACAGGTAAGCAAGAACACTTTGTCCTAGACTGGCAAGATTGTGTTTTCCTTTTTTTATGTGAAGGTGGTGCAAGATTTTTTGTCTTCTTGTGTGGTATCATGCTCTCTTATGTCGTGTTCATG